AATCAATGAACACTACATCAAAAACTAATGATGTACTATATGTTGGCTAATTGAATTTAAATAAAAAAAGAGAGAGAGAGAGAAGAGCGAAAGGGAGGGGACAATTAGAGACGAAAAAAAATGACTAGAGAGACATAACAACCACAAGCCACATGTGACCCTCGGCTGGGTTTTTTTTTTTTTTTTAAGATATTTACTTATTTGACAGAGAGAGTGAGAGAGCACAAGGAGGGGGAGCAGCAGAGGGAGAGGGAGAAGCAGACTCCCCGCTGAGCATAGGCTCCATCCCAGGACCCCAGGATCATGACTTGAGGGCATAGGTTTAACCAACTGAGCTACCCAGGCGCCCCCCTCTGCTGGGTTCTGATTCAAAAGAGGCAGCCAAGAAAACCTTGAGACAACAGCTGGGGAAGGAAATCTGAATATGGACTAGATATTAGATGGTGTTTCTAATTCTTATTGATATTCTTAGGTGTGGAAATGCTAAATCTATGGAAAAGAATGTCCGTGTCGTAGGAGATGTCCGCTGGAGGGCTGAGGAGTGAATGTCAGTCTGCAAACGGCTTTCAGGCATCTCAGTGGGAAAGTAGATGGTAGACAGACACCAATCTGAACACTTGTGAAACCTCGCTGGAGGGTCCTTGGGTATTCATTCTATGCTACTTTTAACCTTTCTCTGAATTTTGAATTTTTCATAATAAAAGTTTTGAGGGGAAAATTTTTTTAAATGGAAAGAGAAACTAGGTCTTCCCACAAAAGTTTGCGGCTCTTGCTATGGAAATTGCTGTTTGCTTCTTTGAAACAGGTTCTGCTAAAAGTATTTAGCATTTCTGAAAAATTAGCACAAATCGAGGGACCAGGTACATTAGCAACATAGGAAATTCACATCTGAGTCGTATATGTAAATTGCAATCATGAAAATCAGAGCTTTCACTGCATTTCTAAGAAATGTCCTTTTTTGGATACTCTTGCTTTTGTCTTACCTCTAGGACTCTCTCAGAGAAGGTTCCACAGCATGGCCTCATAGGGACTGGGGGAGGGGGGGCTGGCAGATGGCAAGGCTTGGTTGAGAAATATACCCACTGCCTCAGAGAGACCATGACACCCAGCTTGGGCAGAGGTTCTCAGGGCCAAAATATCACCACCGCGCTTGTGTAGAGTGGAACAGTCTCATTGGAAAATATTGATCAACGTGACAATGTTTCCTCTGACCAAGTAATCCACTTAGGGAATTCAAGCCATTTGATGAGACACAGAGATAAAATATATATGAAGTGAACATATAAGGGGTTCAGAATAGTGTCTGGAACATGGTAAGTGCTACATAAATGCTTACTATTGTTATTATCTCTAATGAGCATTTAAAGAACTTTAAAGAGGCAAGGCTTGACTGATAGGATATATTGAGTGAAGAAAGGTCGTATGTTTATAGTGCGTTGAATCTGTATAAACAAGCAATTTCGTAAAAAAAAAATATGTATGGGGTGGCAGGGGGTAGAGGCAAAAATCCACCCTCTGTTGACATGTACAGGCATGTAAATGCTAGGGTTTTGCTTGGAAGCGTGTGTGAACCAGATCTGGCCACAGTTGCCGCCTTTGAGCAGGGAAAGAGGCCGTCGAGAGTATCTAGATGGGAGGGAAATTTCTTTTTTGCTATATTCCCTTTCACACTGTTTGAATTTTTCTTTACCATGTGCTCGTTTTAACGGTTTAGGTACGCATATTTGAATGCATCAGCTCCAAAACCTGGAGGTATACAAGGTATCTTTACTCTAGATTCCAGACTCTTCTGTCCCCTTTAAGTGTAGGGCTTAAAATTAGAATCCTGAGTCCCCCACTTCCCCCGGGGAGACAGCTCCGAGAGAGGGCTGGTTTCAGAATGAGGTTCAGAAACCTCCAGCACCTGTTCTGAGGGAGCCCAAGGAGGAAGGGATTCTATTTGCATGGGTCATGAAATTCGAGTTTAGTAACAGTAATAATAAAATTCCTTGTAATCGTGCAGCCCTGGTGAGCTTCACGCTCATCCATTTGATCAGGAGAAAAGGAGGCCCACAGAGGTTAAACAACTCCCCCCAGTAATGTCCCACAGCTTTGCTCTGTCTGGTTTAATAAAATCTAATATCAGCAGAAAGAAGCCAGAAGAAAGAAGTGGATGATCTCATCTGTATGTTCCTATTTATACAGTCAGGAACAAGAGAAATGAATCCATGGGGATAGAGGTCACGTTGGTGGCAATTCTGGGGTGGTGGGGGTGCCTGGAAGGGGCAGGGAGGGAGCCGCCTGGGGGGGGTCCAAATGTTCTAAGTCTTGATCTGGGTGGCGTTACCTGGGTATGGACATACGTAAACTATTCATTGATCTGCACACTTAAAACTCATGCATTTCACTGCATGTAAATTACACTTGTAATTAAAGAAAATAGAAAGCAAATAAAATCCATTATCTGTAAAGGGTGTTTGAGCAAAAGCATTAACGAGCTGTGATCAGCAGTGAGACATTAGGAAACACTACCATCCCATTCTTGGCCACCCCAAAAGTCAGATTGGATCTTGTTTGACTTTCATTTCACGCCTAACTTATGCTGGCTTTAAAACTCCAAAGTGGGATCTCATTGAGCAGGGCAATGTGTGTGGCTTCAGAGAGCCGCAATCAGTCCAGCGGGTCTGTTTCTGGAAGGCACGGTCCGCTCAATAGACAGAGACAGCTTTCCAACGGTCAGAACTAACCCCCTGGGAGCTAGCTGCTCTGTGAGGTGGGGAGAGCCCCAGCCCTGGGTAGGAAGGTAAGCAGGAGATGTACTGGGGGCACCCGACAGTGACTCTGGGCTTGCCCCGATTCAATAGGCAGGAAGTTCCTGAGGACACAATCGACGACCACCTCTGGCTCACAAATCCACCCCCCCACCAGCCTACTACTTTTCATTGGCACAAGTAATACATAAGTATCTTCTCTGTGTAAACATGAAAACCTTACAAATAGGGCTAAAGTCCCCTTTGACCATCACCCCAAACCTGGTCCCCTCTTGTCGTACCCAGAGGCAACCATCATTACCACATACATCCCACAAGACTTTGTCTGCATCCCATTCATATGCATGGGGCCACGGAGAAGGCCGTTTGTGATTTTGTTTTACTACAGGGTGTCTTACTGTAGGCATCATGATTTGTCTGGACAATCGTCTAGCTCCTTCTGTGTAACCTTTGCATAATGTTCCTGGTTATGACCTGTGCATCTCATTCAGCCATCCTCCATTGGATGGACATGTATGTGGTTTCCAGATGCCTCCTAGTATTAACTATGCCTCTGCGAACATCCTCGTGCACCTGCGACATGTGGAGAATTATGTCCAGGTTGTGGACATAGGCGTATGTTGTACAGTTTAATTTTTGTTTCTTTAAAGATTTTATTTATTTATTTGACAGAGACAGAGATTGCAAGAGCAGGAATACAAGCAGTGGGAGTGGGAGAGGGAGAAGCAGGCTTCCCCCCGAGGAGGGAGCCCGATGTGGGACTCGATCCCAGGACCCTGGGATCATGACCTGAGCTGAAGGCAGACGCTTAACGCCTGAGCCACCCAGGCGCCCATATGTTGTACAGTTTAATGGACCCTGGCAGGTTGCCCTCCAAAATGGTGGTACCAACTCCCTCCCTCCAGCAGGGCGCAAGATCGCATTTCCCTGGGTCACTTCCAGCCCTCCTATTATCGACCTTGAGGATTTTGCCATGCTGGTGGGTGAAAATTAGTTTTTCATTGCTTAAGTTGCGTTTCTCTGATCACTGAGATTGAGCAGTTCTTAAGTTGACCAACCCTGATTCCTCTCCTGTTGTGGCTGTTGTCATTCAAGTCAGCCTTTTGTTTTCCTCCCTCCCGCCACACTCCTGCCTTAATCCTACTTCCCTTCCACCTGCCCAATTCCTCCCCATCCCTCAAAGTTTCCTTCCTAAGTGCCGTGGGCTTCTAAATCTGTCTCAATCCCGTCTTTTTTTTTTTTAATTTTTTATTGTTATGTCAATCACCATACATTACATCATTAGTTTTTGATGTAGCGATCCACGATTCATTGTTTGTGCATAACACCCAGTGCTCCACGCAGAACGTGCCCTCTTTAATGCCCATCACCAGGCTAACCCATCCCCCCCACCCCCCTGTCTCAATCCAGTCTTAATCCCATGGAGGTTTCAGGGGAGTTTCGAAGGCGTGGACAACGAGTTACAAGAGTGTGATGGGGACTATGGTGCTAATCCTCCATATCATTTATTGAGAACTTACTAGGTGCCAAGAACTTGCCCTAAGACTTTAACTGTGGCAACTCCTTTCATTCTCCTAACAAGCTGTGAGCTGGGTACGGTTATCAAACCCACTCACGAGAAGAGAAAATGGAGGCACAGAGAAGTTAAGTGAATTGCCCCAAAAGCTTCCTGCTGGTAAGTGGCCAAGCTGAGATTCAAAGCCAGGCCGTCAGCCTCTTGAGTGCTTTGATAGGGCTTAGGAAGCACCGAGAATGGGCATTTAACCAGGCCTGGGACAGTCAGGGATGGCTTCCCGGAGGAGTTGGCCCCTCAGTTGAGCCTGAAGGCAGAACAAGAAGAGACCACCGAGCAATGAAATAGGAAATGGGTGTCAGGGAAGAGGGAAGGGGCTGAGCAATGTTTGGAGGCTGGAGAGCAGGTTCACCCTGGCTGCAGCCGGGAACGTGTGCCATGGGGCAGGAAACCAGGTCCAAGTGGTGGGTCAGCGCTGGCTTGCGGTCATACCAGTTCGTACCTCACCCCAAGGCGAGGCCAGTCCTGCCCTTCCCCTGCCCTGTGGGCGCTGGCGGACAGGGTGCAGGGGAGCTCCACAGACGGCACTGGTGGGGACTCCGGAGTAGTCCCAGGCCACCCACCTCAGCTCCTAACACGCAGGTGCAGGGCGGGAGGGGGTGCCGCTGATTTACATCCTACAGGTTGGGGGGGGAAAACCCAGGAAGTGCAGCTCAGGCACTAATCAAATCTCAGGCTAATAATAAACCTCCTGAGTAATGAGCGACTTGGGCCGGAGCAGGCGAGGTGGCTGGAGCCCGGCGGCCCAGGGAGAGTGGCGTGAGTAGCCAGGTAGGCGGCCGGATTGGGGGGAAGTGGGGGTGAGGAGGGCTTGGCCAGGGGCACCCCGCATGGGTTCGGAGGGATTTGGTGGGTACAGCACCCACAGCAGACGGGCAAGCTCGGGTAGCCTGGGGGTCGGCCCATGCCTCTGCACGTGGAGAGCCCCAATTTTGGGGGCTTTGCGGGTCCGCACCTTGCATTCCAGGAAAGGAGCCGGGAGGTTGGCGGGTCAGCACATAGGCAGGAATTCCATCTGAGACACCCCCGAACCCAAGCTGGCCAGGGCACCTGAGCCAGGTTGGCCAGGACGTTTAAAAAGTATTTTATTTTGAAGCCAAAGTGGAGAGGAGAGTTTAAGGCACTTTCAGCATACATCCCGCAGCTTTGACAATTAGCCAATATGGCCCACCTTACATCCTCCGTGCCTGCCATGTTCCCCCACCAGCCCCACTGGAACATTTTAAAGCTAATAGCAGATAGCAAACATTGTATTGTTTGATTTGTGGATACCTCAGCATTGATCTCTAAAAGCCTCTTTAAAAACCAAAAACCGAAAAATTAACCATCATGCCCTGACCAACTCAAAAATGAATGACACCCCTCCCCCGCCCAGGGGCAGCCGGGTGGCTCAGTCGTTAAGCGTCTGCCTTCGGCTCAGGTCATGATCCCAAGCTCCTGGGACTGAGCCCCACACCGGGCTCCGCCTGCTTCTCCCTCTCCCCCTGCCTGCCGCTCTGCTCACTTATGATCCTTCTCTCCCTCTCTCTGTCAAACAAATAAATAAAATCTTAAAAAAAAAAAAAAGAAGAAGAAAAATGCCCCCCCCCCCCAGCCAGTATTACTAAATAGCCTGTCAGTGTTGAGATTTTCCAACTGTCTTATCAACGTCTTTTCCAGTTGATTTGTTCAAATCAGGATCTGACATGGCCCATGTTATGCCTTTGATTACATGTTTTAATCTAGAACAGTTCCCATCTGGTCTCCTTCCCCCCGCCCCCCTGCTATTTATTTATTGAAGAAGCTGGATAGCTTACCCTGTAGAATTTTTATCAGGGTTTTAAAGGTTCGTTCGAAGACACAAACCAGGAAGCATACGTTGCTGGAGCAGATGGGTCCAAGTCCGTCACTGTGCAGAGGGGACCCCAAGGCTGGATTTGAGGGGCTGTCAGGGCCTGGGGTGGCCCGGCCTGGGTTCACGCACGGCTGGCTACTGCTCTGTCTGGCTCACATCAGTCAGGGAGTATATCTTTTCTCTGATTCCTTTTTAAATCCAGTGACTATGTCCCCAGACATGTCCCCAGCTTAGGGCTCAAACGTATAAAATTTCTGAGAGACTCGGACCAGGCAAGGACCAGAGGCCACGTTGACTCTGGGTGAAACTGCCCGGGCCGCCAGGATCACCGGCTGGCGACCAGTCAGAAATGTGACGGGGCGCCGAGTGTGGCTGCCTGGTGCAGCCGAATCCGCCCTGGCCTGGAGTCAGGGGTTCTCACTCCAGGTGTTCACGGACTCACTGTGTGACCTTGGATGAGCCCTTCCCCTCTCCAGGCTCTGTTTCTTCAGCTGTACCATGAAGAAGGGTCTCTGCCCCACCAGATGTCCCTCGAAACTTCAAAAGGTCTTTGAACTTGCCAGAACCCCTCTTGAGGAGTCCCAAGCAAAGACTCGGAGGAGGGCTGCAGCTAAAAAAGCTTTGCCTTTCTTTAATCTGGCATTTTGCAAACTAATTTGACCACAGAGGTCTTTCTTGGTACGGCACCTCTTAAGCCAAGCACACGAGGAACCACAGGCAGAGGGCTCCAACCATCAGCCCTCCTGGTGCTCTCAGGTCTCAGGGTGCAGGAGGCTGGGGGCGTGAGCCTGGTCCACAAAACCAGGCGTGCAAGAGGAGTTCTTCCCGCCTTCCCTCTATGTCAACAGAACTTTCTCAAGCTTCTATTCTGCCTGGCCAGTGTCAGTCTTGGGGTTTTCCCAGTCCCTCTTTGGGGCTAGATGATGGTTCTGGGATTTTACGTAGGTCCAGATGGTGGTGGAGGAGTGGGGAGCAGGCACGGCACTCTCTGGTCAGTTGGGTGTCTGCCATCTGGCCAGCTAGGTCCCATGTCCCCAGCAGGTCCCACAGCTTGGTGGCCTCCAGACCATGAATATGTCTTGGGAGCTCTCTAGGGCTGCCCTGTCCAATCTAACCCACGGGCCACCCTGCCATCACTTCACAGGGGGCTGGGGTGGGTGGCAGCACCCTCTCTCTCCTCTCCCCAAGTGAGGGAAGGGTCAGAGTTCTCTTTAATTTTGTTTGATCCTTTTGTATTTTCAGTTTGTTTTTTGAGTAGATAGTGGTCACACTTTGGAAGCACAGAAAGTATAAAAAGGTATACAATATGAAGTCTTCCTTCCATCTCCGTCCTTCATCTATCCAGTCCCTGCTTCCCCTGGAAGAAACAGCTTTCCTGACATAGCATTTACATGTCATAAAGTTTACCCTGTTAAAGTGTACGAGCCAATGTTATTTAGTGTACTTGCAGAGTGGCGCAATCATCACTATAATCTAATTTTAGATCATTTTCATCACCCCACAATCTCCATTCTTCCCCACCCCAGGCCTTAGGTTACCAGTAATCTGCTTTCCGTATCTACAGATCTGCCTGTTTTTATTTTTATTTTTATTTTTTAAAGATTTTATTTATTTATTTGACAAAGAGAGACACAGAATGAGAGGGAACACAAGCAGGGGGAGTGGGAGAGGGCGAAGCAGGCTTCCTGCCGAGCAGGGAGCCTGATGCGGGGCTCAATCCCAGGACCCTGGGACCATGACCTGAGCCGAAGGCAGATGCTTAACGACTGAGCCACCCAGGCGTCCCTTGCCTGTTTTTTTTTTTTTTTTAAGATTTATTTATTTATTTGAGGGAGGAGGGGCAGAGGAAGAGGGAGAGTGAGAATCTCAAGCAGACTCCCCACTAAGCACGGAGTCAGATGCAGGGCTCGATCCCATGACCCTGAGACCACCGCCTGAGCCGAAATCAAAAGTCGGCCGCTTGACCAACTGAGCCACCCAGGAGCCCCTAGTTGCCTGTTTTGAACAATTTTATAAAAATTGAATGTGGTGTTTAGCAAACTGCCTTCTTCCTCTTAGCATGATGTTTTTAAGGTTCATTCATGATGTAGAATGTATCAACACTTTGTTCCTTTTTATGGCCCAATAATATTCCATTTAATGGATATACCACATTTTATTTACCCATTCATTGGCTGATGGACATTTGGGTTGTTTCTACTTTTTGACTATTATGAATAATGCTGCCATGAACATCCGTGTTCAAGTATTTGGGTGGACATGTTTTCATTTCTCTTGGGAGTGGAATTGCTGGGTCTTGTGGTAATTCTATGCTTAACATTTTGAGGAACCACCAAACTGTTTTGCACAGTAGCTATACCATTTGATAATCTTGCTTCATGTATGAGGGTTCCAATTTCTCCACATCCTCATGAACACTTGTCATTATCCCTTTTTTCATTATAGCCATTTTAGTAGGTATGTCAGTGTGGTTTTGATTTGCATTTCCCTAATGACAAAAGATGTTGAGCATCTTTTCCTGTGCTTATTAGCCATTCACATATCTTTTTGGAGAAATGTCTATCTCCTTAACCTATTTTTAAGTTGGGTTGTTTTTCATTATTCAGTTATAAGCATTCTTTATATATTCTGATCCCTTAACATATATATGGCTTGCAAATATTTCCTCCCAGTCTGTGGATTGTCCTTTTATTTTCTTGGTAGTATTCTGTGAAACACAAATGTGTTTAATTTTGATGAAGTCCAATCTCTCAATCTTCTCGTTAGTCATTTATGCATTTGGTGTCATTGCCTAACCCCAAGTCGTGAAGAGTCACTCTTGTTTTCTTCTAAATTTGTCATTTTAGCTCTTTCATTTAGATCTATGATCACTGTGAGTTAATTTTTTATTTGCGTATGGTGTGAGGTAGGAGTCCAAATTTTTTTTTTTTTTTTTTTTTTTTTACACATGGCTATCCTGTTGTCTCAGCACTATTTGTTGAAGAGACTCTCCTTTCTCCCGTTGAGTTGTCTTGGTACCCTTATGGAATATCAATTGACCATAAAGGTTAGACTTTATTTGTGGACCCTCATTTCTATTCCATTGGTCTATGGTTATCTTTATGCTAGTACCACACTATCTTATTTATTATTGCTTTGTAGTAAGTTTTGAAGTTGAAAAGTGTGCATCTTCCAACTATGTTTTTCTTTTTTGAGATTGTTCCGGCCCTTCTGGGTCTCTTGCATTTCCATATGACTTTAGGATCAGCTTGTCAAATTCTGCAGAAAAGCCAGCTGGGATTTTTTTCATTAGGATTGCATTAAATCCGTAGAAGAATTTGGGGAATATTGCCATCTTAACAATATTAAGTCTTTCAATCCATGAACATGGGATGTCTCTCCATTTATTTAGGTCTTTTTAAGACTTCTGTCAACAATGTTTTGTAGTTTTCCATGTGCATGTTTTGCACTCTTTTGTTAAATTTATTCCTAAGATTTTTACTTAAAACACCATTTTTTTGTTTCTTAAGTTTCTTTATAGTGTTTCTTTGTGTATTTGCCAACACTTATCGATTTGAACTTTCCCCCTTTTTGCAAAAAGGAAGAAAGGTTGGAAGGAAGGAAAGAAGGGAGGGAGGGAGGGAGGGAGGGAAGGGAGGGAAGGAGGAAGGGAGGGACCCTATGAGCTATGCTGTTATGTACCCTGTTTATTTTTATTTTTGTTTTCCACATAATATATCTTGGAGTTCTTTCCATAGCAATATATAAACAGCTTCCTAATTCTTTTTTTAGAGATGCACAATAGTCCTGTATATAAGCATGCTGTAATTTACTCATTCAGTCCTCTACTGATGGGCATTTGGGTTTTTCCAATCTTTGCTGATACAAACATTGCTACAATGAATTTATTATTTCACACTCTGGGATAAACCCCTGAGTTTAATCACTATATGACTGG